AAGGGTGAACACATGTGCCGTACATAATACATGCTCGGCACGTGAATTACATGACGCACCGTGCGCGTCAATAGTGCTTGCTTGTTTCTATGACAACCAGGCCCTGCAGGTCAATGTATAAGGCACTGTACACATCAATATGATGAGAGCACTTTGTAAAACACCCTGCCACTATCGGCTCATTCGGTTATGCAAATAAAATCTATGTGTGCAAGACAAAAAGATAAATAGCTGTTAGCGAATAGCACCTATGAAGGCCAGCACGAGGAGGTGGGTGGCCAACACCACGCCCGGCCGCCTTTGTCTCCCCAGTGGCGATGTTTACGCACCGCACCAGGTACTCATTTGAGGCCGAGTTGACCTAGGGGAGGAGCCCAGGACAGGTTCTGAAAATCGTCACTTCTGTTGGCCGTAGGCAGGAATCGAACCTGGCCTGTCCGAGTTCGTAGCGCAGCGCCCTCAACGCGACACTACCGCTATATATGGCACGCGCATTACGTTTTTCCAAGCGCCGAACGGCATGAATGTTTATTGTGGTTTCACACGGAGGCTTTCGCGACCAATATTTTTCATAATAAAATTTTTTGGGTTAGATCGCGTACGTATAAATGCGTCGTAACCCTCCACCACCCGACGCAGCCAGTAAGGTTTGTCACGTGAACAAAACTTGCCTATTAGTTACTACTCCAGCCCACCGGTGTGTTGGAGAGAATGGTGGTGTTTAAACAGGAGCCATGCTCGTGTTTGTGACGGGACTTGAGGGGACTAATGCAGTCGAACTGCGTCCGTTTAGCAGTGTCCACGTGTGAGCGAGAGGGGTTTTCGCGAAACGGGTTTTTGCTTTTGCACTCGCAGCGACTGGTATCCAGAATCAGAGACCCATAGACTCATCACGCAGAGACTCATGGACTCATTAGACAGAGACACATAGACTCATAGACTCATCACATAGAGCTATAGACTCATCACGCAGAGACTCATGAACTCATTAGACAGAGACTCATAGACTCATCACATAGAGCTACAGACTCATCACGCAGAGACTCATGGACCCATAGACTAATCACAGAGACCCATAGACTCATCACGCAGAGACTCATGGACTCATTAGACAGACACACATAGACTCATACCTCATCACATAGAGCTATAGACTCATCACGCAGAGACTCATGAACTCATTAGACAGACACACATAGACTCATAGACTCATCACATAGAGCTACAGACTCATCAAGCAGAGACTCATGGACCCATAGACTAATCACAGAGACCCATAGACTCATCACGCAGAGACTCATCGACTCATTAGACAGACACACATAGACTCATAGACTCATCACATAGAGCTATAGACTCATCACGCAGAGACTCATGGACCCATAGACTCATCACAGAGACCGATAGAATCATTAGACAGAGACACATAGACTCATCACATAGAGCTATAGACTCACTACATAGATACACAAAGACTCATCACAGAGACCCATATTGGACTTATCACAAAGAGATCGAAATACTCACACAGACCCATAGACTCATGACAGAGACGCAAAGACTCACCACACAGAGACGCATAGATTCACACACAGACCCATAGACTCATCACAGAGACGCAAACACTCACCACACAGAGATACAAAGACTCATCACAGAGATTCAAAGACTCACCACACAGAGACGCAAACACTCACCACACAGAGACCCATAGATTCACACACAGACCCATAGATTCACACACAGACCCATAGACTCATCACAGAGACGCAAACACTCACCACACAGAGACCCATAGATTCACACACAGACCCATAGATTCACACACAGACCCATAGACTCATCACAGAGACGCAAACACTCACCACACAGAGACCCATAGATTCACACACAGACCCATAGATTCACACACAGACCCATAGACTCATCACAGAGATGCAAACACTCACCACACAGAGACCCATAGATTCACACACAGACCCATAGATTCACACACAGACCCATAGACTCATCACAGAGACGCAAACACTCACCACACAGAGACCCATAGATTCACACACAGACCCATAGATTCACACACAGACCCATAGACTCATCACAGAGATGCAGACACTCACCACACAGAGACCCATAGATTCACACACAGACCCATAGATTCACACACAGACCCATAGATTCGCACACAGACCCATAGACTCATCACAGAGATGCAAACACTCACCACACAGAGACCCATAGACTCAGACACAGACCCATCGACACACATTCAATACGATATGTACTACTATGGTACAGTGGTACACCAGTGGCCCCCTCATGGGTGGAACGTTGTTCTGCGCCTGATGTGGCAAAGAGCTGACACGCGTGTTCAGGAGATCAAAGGGAAGTGAAATATATTTAGTTTTTAGATTTATTTATTTTACTTTTTTTATGAGGGAGCAGCAGACCCAACAAAGGGTTTCACAGCACCGTACAAATTAATAATAATCTCTGGTTTAGCTAACTTATCCTGTAGAAAAATACGGAGGCTTTTAGTTTCTATCTAAATGGGAGAATCTCCAGGGTCAGGTGCAGCTCTTGAGGCAGAGAGCGCTCACAAATCTGTGGGCCGAGGACCGAAAACTGTTGTGTGCCAAAAGCGTGCGTGGCTGACGGAGTGACACGGTCACGGTGGGCGAGGACCTCACGCTCCTCGAGTGAGGATTGCCGATCTGCACAGACGAAGCAGCTGAGAAACGACCTTGTCCTCCCGTGCACTTACTCGTTACACTGATGCGGTCCAGCCCTGCAATGGCCCGGGCTTATTATCGTGAAGCGTTCAAGCGCAAATACTGGCACACGCGGCGAGGTGCGACCTCGCGTCACGCTTGCGAAAGCCCTAAACGTCGCCCTCACGCACGCACCATTACTGGGCTTCACTATTCTAAAGATTCACCGCCAAAATCGGTAAAAGTCAGGCAGCAAAAAAAAGGAGTTCAAGTGAAACAAGGTGAGGGAGCAGAACGCTTTTCGTGAGCTGCTAATTTAGGTGCGAGATTGATTAGTCTACATTACTAATAGCTTGCCAAGCTATTGGCAATGTGGACTGATTGCAGTTAATGTGAAGACATCGATATTTTCAGGTACGACGGCCAAGAGCGATGAGCCCGGCTCCCTGAGTTGGGGAGCCCTGTTCATGGTTAAGCCTGGACCAGTACGCCAACCAGTATGGTGAAGTACGGTCAAACAGCCCTCGTGACCAATCAATGGGGAGGCTTTGATCAAGCAGTATATTCACCAAGGGAGGCATATTTTTGCTCGGTTGGCACCTCCGATAAGCAGGGTTGGCTACATATGGTGCAAAATAAGTTCAAAAGACACACATGCTAATGATGAAGAATAATCTATGCATGGACACCACCCAAGGACACCGAGGCACTCGCACAACACAACGTAGAGCAACACAGGATCTGGAAGGACGTTAAAACGAAGGCACCGTATAATAATAGGTGTTTTCTCCCTTTTTCTGGAAACAAAACTGAAACCTTTTTTCAAGGAATCATGTCTGCATTAACCACAAAACTTATGGTCAAAATGCAAACAAAAAACACACTCTGAAAATATATGCATTGTCCTTGAAACTGATTGGTCCACACATGATTCCTTGTAAAAAGGTTTCAGTTTTGTTGCCAGAAAAAAGGGGAAAAACCCTATTATTATATTTTGGTACTGGCAAAGGAGGCCGAATGATGATGAAGGCACCATATTCTCGTGATTTACACTTGCGGTGAGCTGCTGCACTGCACGGACGATGCGGACGTTGTCATCGGCGGAGCGGGGGACTCCGATCACGGTGGGCCCCCTTCTCCCTCCTTGCTCCAGCCCCCCGCCCGCCCCCTTTGTCTTCCCGATTACTTTTCAGCCCCCCCCAGCTTTCTGTCGCCCCTCCCCCCCAGCTAGGACCAGGCCTATCCCAAACCCACCTCATCAATCCCTCTTGCTTTACTGTCATCAAAAGTACACCACCACTTACAGTAACCCAATTATTCATTTGAATTATCACGCTATGTACAAATGTTATAAATGATGTTTAGTGCGTTACTTTCATTAGTCGAGTCAAATATTCCGGACTCTAATTCGTGAACATTCCGAAAAACGCCACACGGCGAAGGAAGTCGATGCTCTCACGATTGACGATGGCTTTGGCGGCGGACTTACGGGCCATTCATTTCTGGAGGAAGTGGATCCACGAGTGGTATCGTCACTTGGAGAGTGGATATCTCTTACAGGGACCAGCGCCATCAATTAGGAGGTGCTTTGTAATTTAGCGAAGGCCACCGCCATTAGGTGTGCACCATGTAATTTGCGGGGGACACGACCATCACTGCATCGCTGCGGCACATTGAGTGTCACGCCGCTCGTGCTTTTATTCCGACAGGAGGAGAGAAAGGCACGGCTTAGACAACAACCATTATTCGGATGCGTTACGGTGGCGACTACGTAAAAAGGGCTTGGGAAGGTCACGGCGCCTGCAGGAACGGTGTCCGGCGCACGAAGGTTGCGGAACGACAGCAACGGAGAGGGAGCGCGCAACGAAGGGATGCTCAAGAAGGAGCGTGGCGAGGTGAGAGCGTACGCGATGAGGGCCATCGGTGGGCAGGGCAATCAGCAGTGAGAGGCTTCAGTCGAGCTGCTGCTAAGCACAATGAAGCAACCGCATCTGCTGACAAAAGCCCAGTTGCAAAGATGACCCTCATCCAAAAAAATCAAGGAAATTAATGACCACAGTCTCGGTTGGACGTCGAGATTTTAAAAGAAGCACCGACTTGTTTATTGTCAAGTTTGAAAACGCGCGCTCTCGGGAAAGGGGGCAGCCGAGGTGAATTTGACTCACCGTGCTCGCAACAAAACAAGTCTACGCCGAGCACCACGATCGTGGGCCCTGTGCATATTGGCGTGTTCAAAGCATGTAGACGTGCCATGACCCCAATCGTTAAAACCGTCTCTCACACACGGGGTACCTTCTTTCCTTCTCCGTAGATCAGCGGGAACTTCAGATCGTCCTCGTCTATGGTTTTGTACGCCCTGTGAAAAGACAAGGGCTCGTGTAACGATGCATTCACCGCACCACGTATAATTGCCTAAAGTAGACGTGATTACTACGACGCCGTCATGCCTATTTCTGTCTATTTACGTGGATTATAAACATAGAAAACATACAAACAAGACAACGTGAAGAGAGTTCAGAAAAATAGAAACATAGAGGTAAAAGTGGTGAATTACAAACAGCGGAAACACCTGTCAACCCCTTATCAGTGCCTACCTTATTACAGACCAATTCAGACGTTATTAGTCACCCCGTGCCTTTATACATCTCAACGTTCATCCTACAAAGTCCCATCAAAAGGGAGAAACACAAATAAATAGACAAAAATAATGTTTTGCCCGTATTGAAACGGCTGTACGCTGTATGGACCTGACCACATAAGCCCTATAAGATTAAACCCTCAGGATAAAACAAACCCATGCATTATTTATATATATGTAAATATGTATAAACAAGAACAAAACTGCAGCTTTGGCAAATGATACATTGATTTTTAAAAACGTATCTTCTCCAGAAAAGAAAACACGTCCCTTTTTATTTCCCCGCGTGCAAATGGCGCGTTTAAAGACCACGGGCCTATCTTGGGGTAAAGCAGAGACAGCTGCTGACGAGCGTCCGGCTCGTTGCGGCCTTATTCTCCGCAGGGAGCGAAGAGGAGTAAGAGAAGTAAGAAATGGTGTGCATGCGGCCTCGTCTCGTGCTGCCGGCACTCCGCGGCGAGAGCCAGCGTGGTCCCAGAGCTGCCAAAGTGGTGGCGCGCTGCGGTGGCGAGCGGTAGCGTCGACATGACGAGGTCACTTCTTCTTCTTTACTTTCGAACGTCGAGTTGGGAAATTCGACAACGTCCACATCGTTGCTCACGAGTGCCGAGAGCAAGCATCTGTCCTGATCTGGGATTTTTGTGCAAATTTCCACTGGAGAAATACCAACGTTGAGGAGCTGCTGGCTGAAACACTGATGACTCCTTTCACCAGTGAACACTTCATACATTCAGTTTTTTTCATGTTTGAATGTTATTTTCTTTATCCGTACCCAGGCATCCAAAAAGAGCATTGCAATACTGCGTTAAATGAAAGACAAGGTCAGAGAGTGTTGATGAAAATTCTGCTGCAAACACCGATTTGTACGAAACCGATTTGCCCTTTCAGAATACTGACCACACTACGTCCATGCGTGGTATTTACTGTAGTAGCCACCATTCTACTTAGACGTTTCATGTGCACAGCAACAGCATATGTGGATGGCTCATGCTCATGACATCAAGATACCGAAGCGGAAGATTTCAAATACGCAACAGCTTACAGAAGGGCCTCCACCAGATAGGAAAAAATCCCCTGCAGGAGGGAATTTTGGCCTACTCTTCCACACTGGCCAGGAATCTCAAAATTGGTGGTAGTACCCACACTTTACCCCACCACGCATCATCCATGGTGAACCCATCGACACTACAGAGTGGGCGGAGGTGGGGGGCGGGGGTTGATGACGTTCGCCCATTTGATTCGACGGCCGTGCCGGGAGATCGGATCGACCCGGTGACCTCGGGTTTGCAGGTGCAGCGTGCCGACCCTGACGCCGCCGTGCGTCGAGCAACTCGGCACTCACGACGGCGATGAATGCGAGTGTGTGCGTGTGAACGGTGGTGTAGCGGTTAGCGCGCTTTGCCACCAACCTGGAGACCCGAGTTCGATTCCCGCTCATGGCCAACACCAGTGACGATTATCTGAACCGGCCCTGGGCCTCCCCTAGGTCGAGGTGGGGGGCGAGGTGGGGGGCGAGGTGGGGGGCGAGGTGGGGGGCGAGGTAGGGGGCGAGGTGGGGGGCGAGGTGGGGGGCGAGGTGGGGGCGAGGGGGTGCGAGGTGTTGGGGGGGGGGTGAGGTGGTGGTGGGGGTTGAGGTGGGGGGCGAGGTGGGGGGCGAGGTGGGGGGCGAGGTGGGGGGCGAGGTGGGGGGCGAGGTGGGGGGTGAGGTGAAGGGCGAGGTGGGGGGCGAGGTGGGGGGCGAGGTGGGGGGCGAGGGGGGGGCGAGGTGGGGGGTGAAGTGTTGGGGGGGGCGAGGTGGGGGTGGAAGGTTGAGGTGGGGGGTGAGGTGGTGGTGGAGGGTTGAGGTGGGGGGCGAGGTGGGGGGCGAGGGGGGGGTGAGGTGTTGGGGGGGGCGAGGTGGTGGTGGAGGTTGAGGTGGGGGGCGAGGTGGGGGTCGAGGTGGGGGTTGAGGTGGGGGGCGAGGTGGGGGGGGGGGCAGTGCTTCCCACCAGCCGGCCATGCTGTGGTCCCGGTACAGCATGCGCTTGCCCATGTCCTTCTTCTGCACGCGCCGCGAGAACTCCAGCGCCGTGAACTCGTCGCCGAGCAGATGCGGCTGCAGGTGAGCCTAGTGGGGGGGGGGGGGGGGGGGGGGGGGGGGGGGGGGAGATGAGGGGTGGGGGGGCGTAAGGGGGGTGGGGGGGGGGGCGTAAGGGGGGTGGGGGGGGGGGGGGGGGGGGGGGGGCGTAAGGGGGGTGGGGGGGGGGCCGTGTTTGCCGCTCGTTGCAGAGGTTCGCAGCTTGCGGCCTCGTCCCGGTTGGTGCGCTCACCGCTGCGGGTGTACGAACCGTACAGTATGACGCACCGTCTACTTCACGACGCAAGATGAAATTAACCTCTGTGTGTGTGTGTGTTGACCTTCGTTCGCACCCGTACTTGGCCAACCCTTCTCATCGGAGGTGCCGGGGAATGACAAACAATCTAAACACAAAAAAGCGGTTCTGAAGAAATTCGTTTATAATCTAGATGATTTAAAAGTGTATAGCTCCAGTGGCTTCCTAAGATCGGAAGGAAGAGCATTCCACAGATGGCCGCAGAAGCACATCTGAAAGCGAGCGATGCGGTGACCACCTTGGTTCGTTGGTTAGCCAAAAGCCGCCGCTGCGAGGATGACCGGAGTTCACGTGATGGTTTATGCTCCTTCACGAGATCAGCAAAGTGTTGTGGTTCGTTTGTGGCAAGCACTTTGTGTGTGCAATGAGGTCATTGTGTGCCGGCGTTATGGTTGGAATTCAGAAAAGTACACACAAATGACTCAATTGGGATTTCACACAGCGACATCGCCCCCGACTGTAAAACGACGGCCTACTGTGCGTGTCGAAGGCCTGCGCCTTCCGTCGCGGTCACAGCCTCCCGCTAGAAAAGAGTGGTGCGGAAAACCAAACGTGCCGAATTCTTTAACCTTGCGACGGAAGATGTGAACAGGAGCAGGACAAGCGGTCACACACAACGAGCCCGCCAAAACATTCGGGAGACATCTGTGAGAGCGACACTCTCGGAAGACGTCACCGATTCTGCTTGGGTAACTTTAACACATTGTCTCGTCTTCAGCCATCCTCGACTTGAGCTAAAGCGAGTAGCAGCGTGCCGACGTGACACCACCACTTGCATGCCCAGGCACGGCTGGGCTTTTTTTCCATCTACGTAGAGATTGAAACTGCGGCAAGGGCACGCCATTTTCTGTCGCTCGCTCGTGGCCGATAAAGATCAAGAGCATGAGAATTGTTTTATTCTTTGATTTTGTGGTGAGAGGGGGGAGGAGAAATCTCCCCCCCAAGCGGTAGAAGTAAAAAGCAATACCACTTGCGTGCGAAATGCGACGTTTGTGACCCCGTGTACTCATTCCACGCTCATGAACATTAATTGTTAGCAGCAAATCCACTTTCCCCAGAGGATCACATCTCACACAAGGCGAGGTTTAACCTTCAAAACTGCCTTCCACAAGAAAAGAAAAACAATTTCAATGACGTAAAGCGGACAACTTATACACGACGGGGGTTTTGTTGGTGTGTTCACGAGGCCGCCAACTTGCTGTGTTACGGTTTATAATCCGGATTCACGGTGCTCGGCCTCGCTGCTCCGTGAGCACAGAGCCTGATGGCAGTCGAGGAAACCACCACCACCGCCACCGCGCACACGGTCATGCAGATGGCCATCGCGATGCTTCCCTCCGCTGGCAAAAATTAAGAGATTCC